CCGCACCGCCCAGCTCGACAGGGACGCCAGCGCCAGCGGTGTGTCGGCTCCCTGCGCTGGCGTCTTCCAGGCGGGACACCTGTGGCCCGCTCCAACCCGCAACAGGCAGGCCTCGCCACTAGCCCCCACGCTCCGCGCCGTGCGACGCTGGCGAGCACTCTGGGACTCCCGTGACTCGCGGGGTCACCATGGCTGGCGCAGTCCGCCAGCAACACCGGTGCGTCGGCTCCCGGCGTTTTCACGGCGGACACCCTGGTGGGTTCCGACCCCGCAAAGCAGCGCTCCCGCACTTTGCCCCGCGTGGGAGCTGCGAGACTTGGGCTCCGCGTGAGCCTGCGGCTTCACGTGCGCGGCCGTCCACGCTGGCTTGCCGCGCCGTTTCTGGCGAAACCAACGCGGCAGCCGTGATCGACTTCACCAAGGGCTGCTTCCAGGGAACCATCCTCCCCCTCCACCCACTCCACCCGCACACGCCTTTGGCAGCAGCTCTAAGAACAATCGACCAGGCTGTCTAGAACCCAAACCACGCGTGAACTTCACACACTCTCAGCTTCCAAGTCTGAACCCACCGACACGCCTCAGCCCGAGTCAGAGCAAGCGGAAGACTTTCTGAGCCCTCAGAGACGCTACGATGATGCGCCTGGGCGTGAGGCCGGCGCAAGCAGGCAGCTGGGGTCAGGCTCGAGCGGTCCGGGTGTTCTGAGTGGGCCGCAGTAAGAGGCGAACCGCCTGGGGACGCCTGCCTGCATCAAGCCTCTCGCAAGGAGCGCGCGCCGTAGCCTCCCCTGGGCCCGCTGGGCGCTGGGCTCCACGGTCCCTCGGGGCAAGCCGCACCTGCCAGCCACTGTCCACCCTCGCTGGCTTCCTGGGGCCCGCCTTCGAGCCGCTTCTCCACAGCCCTCCGCCCCTGCCCCACGGCCTCAGGAGCACCGTCCACCGTCAGTCGCGCCAGGCACGCCGCTGAAGCGTGGCACCCCCCCGCATGCTGCGTGCTGTCTGCAGCAGCCAGCACGCGAGTTGCGTGGTCACGCCTTCGGCATCGTGTGTGCGCAAGCGACAGGCTCCCCCAGCAGAAGCTCGGGACTTGGGGCTCCCCGTGACTGCGGGCTCACGTGGCAGCCGGTCCCCCAGCACGGTGGTGGCTCCCGGTGTTTCCAGGCGGACACCTGGTGGGTCTGACCCCCGCAAACGCAGGCGCTGCGAGACTTGGGGCTCCCCCGTGACTGCGGGTCACATGGTGGCCAGTCCCCCAGCACGGTGGTGGCTCCCGGCGTTTCCAGGCGGACACCTGGTGGGTCCGACCCCCGCAAACGCAGGCGCTGCGAGACTTGGGGCTCCCCCGTGACTGCGGGCTCACGTGGCAGCCGGTCCCCCAGCACGGTGGTGGCTCCCGGCGTTTCCAGGTGGACACCTGGTGGGTCCGACCCCCGCAAAGGCAGGCTCCGCCACTGCCGCCGTGGGAGCTGCGAGACTTGGGCTCCCCGTGACTGCGGGCTCACGTGGCGGCCGGTCCCCACGTGGCTGCCCACGTTTCTGGGAAAAACGCGCAGGATGACTTCAACCCAAGGGCTGTCCCCAGGGACATCCCCTCCCCCTCCCGCCACCCCACCCCGACAGCTTTGGCAGCATCTAAGTAAATGGAAGTGTCTAGAACAAAACGGTGAACTTCACACACTTCAGTTCCAATGAACCACCGAACCCTCAGCCGCGTCAGAGAAGCGGAGACCTTTGAGCCCTAGAGAGCTAGAGATGGCTGGGGTGAGGGGGCAAAGGCCAGCTGGGGGTCAGTAGGGTTCCGGGGTGTTCTGAGTGGGCCAGAAGAGGGACCCTGGGGACCCGCCTGCATCAGAGCCTCGCAAGGAGGGGCGTCTGCCCTCGGGCCGCTGGGCGCTGGGCTCAGGCCCTCGGGGAAGCCGCACCTGCAGGCCACTTGTCCTCGCTGGCCTTCTGGGGCCGCCTTGAGCCCTTCCTCCCACAGCCCTGCCCCTGCCCAGCCTCAGGGAGACACGTCCCAGTCAGCGGCCCCAGGGCAGCCCCTGAAGCGTGCACACGAGTGCGTGTGTCTGCACACGGCAGCGAGTTGCGTGTACGTGCATGTGTGTGCAAGAACAGCTCCCGCAGAGAACTCCCGGGACACGCTCACGGTTCAGACGGGTCCTGCCATCTTGTCACAAACAGGCGTCTTGAAGGGAGACAAACCCGGATCCTCCCTCCCTCCCTCCCTCCCTCCACCCGCACGATCCTTTCGGAGGGAAAGGAAAACGGCCAAAGTCCCGGAGGAGACCAGACGACCGCGGTGGCCCTGGGGTGGCACAGAGTGACACCGTGCAGGACGACAGACTCTGCCAGCCCCAGGCAGGCCGGAAGGGGCTGCTCGCCCCCCAGGACGGGACCGGGCCCTGCTCCTCGGCAGCCCTGCCGCCTGCGTTTTCCTGGGTGGTCTCTGGTTTGAAAATGGTGTGGTTTACACACCTGGATAAAAGGTCGCCTGAGCAGGAGTGAAAGCCTGTCTCTACTAAAAGTATAAAAATTAGCCAGGCATGGTGGCTTGCACCTGTAGTTCCAGCTACTCGGGAGGCTGAGGCAGGAGGATTGCTTGAGCGCAGGAGTCTGAGGCTGCAGTGGGTCAGGGTCCGCAGGTTTGGGGTCTGGGGAGGGCGGGGCCTCTGCTTCCAAGACTGCACCTTATTGCTCTGTCCCCTGGAGGGGACGAGCGCCGAGTCTGCAAGCGGCCCTGCAGCCCTTTTGCTAACATGAAGGCGTCAGCCCTCGTGACTGACACCAAAGGTCCTGCCTCTTAATGCCGCCAAAATTGGGTTACGTGTCCACCCCTGCATTTGGGAGACGTTCAGACCATCACTGCTGGCAGGACGCACACCAGCCACGGTGTGACCAGACCACGCGGTGCCACTCGGCAACGAAGACCAGTGAGCTGTGCCACACGCATCCACACGGGCAGACCTCAACCGCAGTGCTGAGCAGAAAGCGACTCACAGGACAGGCAGGAGGCTAAACTTGCTTGTTCCAAAAGAGGTGAGACATTGTTCAGAGAGACCCAGAGTAAAAGCATAACGAAATGGATGGAATGGCAAATGCCAGGTTCGGGAGGTTTGCAGGGATGGGTAATGTTTAATTTCGTAAAGACATCATTCCTTTGTGTCTTCGGGTAATTCTGAAGAATTTCATAGAAAAAAGTGCTAAGTGGTATAAATGCTGACCCTGCCCAATTGAAACAGAAGCGCAGAATCCGGAGCTCTGAGCAGCGGCTTTCTGGGAGAAGACCTGCTCAAAGGCAGCCCTCCCGCGAGCCCGGGACTGTAATTAAAGCGCATTACCCGAGAGGTGTCTAATCCCACACAGAAACTCACATGAGCTCACCTCTCCCGTGCTGTGGGTGGCAAAGCCTCGCACTGGGAAAGAAAGCCCAGAACACAAAGGCGGCTTTATCGCAGGCAGACGGCGAGGTGTGTGTGGCCCGGCCGCTGGCCCGCCGCCTGGTTTCTCCCCAGCTGGGCGCTCCTGCCGTGCGCGCGGGGTGCCCGCCACCACCCAGCGTGACTGCTGGGTCTAGATCCAGGGCGCACAGACCTTTCACTTACATAAACTCGCCTCACACACTCACAGCAGGGCACCTACAGGCGACCCTTGCGGACGCCTTGCGGCGTTTCATCGTCCGCCAGAGAACTTGCAGCACTGACGGTACCCGGTGGAACCCTGCCCGGCAACCACCTCGCCCGGCAACCACCTCGCCCGGCAACCACCTCGCCCGGCAACCACCTCGGCATCCCACTCGTCCCGGGTCTCCAAGTCCACCATGGATGGAGGGAGACGGGTTATTTCCTTGGAGAAACACTTGTCAGATGTTTAGAAGTTTTACACTAAGGTATGACTTGCAAAGTGTGAGGTGCGTGGATTTTAAGTGTGTAGCTCAGTGTAGCTCAAACACAGACACCCACGTCACCCACACCCGACACAGCTTCCCAACACCCTGGAAGTTCCCTCGCCCCCAGCCCCACCCCCGGTGGAACCACAGCTCAAACGTCTGTCACCGCGGCCTGGGTTTGCCTTTTGGAGGCCTTGATGTAAGCAGACTCCTACACCACGTATGCTTTCGTGTCTGGCTTCTCCATTAACCATATTTTCTTACATCGCTCCATGTTCTCACGTGTATCAGTTTATTTTCTCTATCACTGAGCAGCATTTGCTGCTTTTATCAGGACTTGTCTTACGGTCCAAACTATGTATCTTAGACTTGAAAAGAACGTATTCTGCAGTTGAATGCAGAGTTCTGTAAATGCCAATTAGGTCAAGTTGGTTAATAATGTCATTCAAATCTTTGCCATTTCAGATCCCGCCCCCCTTTTTTTGGAGGGCGGGGAGACAGGGTCTCGCTCTGTTGCCCAGACTAGAGTGCTGTGGCATCATCATAGCTCACTGCAGCTCAGACTCCTGGGCTCAAGCAACCTTCCTGCCTCAGCCTCCCGAGTAGCTGGGACTACAGGTGCATGCTACCAGGCCTGGCTAATTTTTCTACTTTAGTAGAGACAGGCTTTCACTCCTGCTCAGGCTGTCTTGAACTCCTGAGCTCAAGTGATCCTCCCACCTCAGCCTCCCAGAGTGCTGGGATTACAGGTGTGAGCCACTGTGCCTGGCCTTTTCCCTGCTTCTGTCAGTCACTGAGAGAGTAGTGCTAAACTGCCCAGCTGTAATAGTCCTGCATTTGTCTCTGGCTCCTTCATTCCTGTCAGCTTGTGCTCCATGTGTTCTGAGACTCTGCCCAGGGGCACACACTCAGGAGTGTGACATTTTCTTGTTAAGCGACCTTTTATCCAGGCGTGTAAACCACATCAGTGGGTCGGGTTCAGGACAACAAACTCCCCAACAGTGACGCTCTGCTACAGCTACTGTATGAAAATTCAGATTTAACAAAAGGCAAGAGAAAACACAAATGCAAGTTCTTTTGCTTAAAGTTGTAAACAAAGAAGCAAAGTTTTTAAATATTGAACAGCACGTGTGCAAACACTCAGGGACCACCAGAGTCAGCCTGGGTGCTGAGGCCTGAGACCCCAGCCCACACACGCCTGTGCGTGACAGCGGACACGGGCCCTCCCGGCAGAGGCGATTCCCGTCGAGAATCCACAGCCCCACAGCGAGTCTCAGCCCCGCCCAGGGCAAGACCCTGCATGGAGCTCATCACAGCCAGGGACCCGGGGCCGCTCCTCCTGGGCCCGGGGGCCACACGTGCGGCAGCCCTGCAGAGGGGGCGCCCGTGCCGGGCTGTGGGGTGGGCCGAGGCTTCTGCTCCACACACAGTTCAGAGTGAAGAGCGGCAAGCGCGCCCCTCCTTTTCTCCACCCTAACCCCCACCCCAGCTCCAGAACAGCAGCCTCCAGCCCACGCCCAGCCCAGGGGCCGAGCCCTGGGGAGGAGAGGGGGCCCGGCCTTCTTCACCGGCTCAGGTTCCCGGTCACTGTGACGCCCCACGTGGGGGTGTGGCCCCGAGGCTGCCCCGCCCGGCCTGTCGTCGCAGGGGACGTCTGCCTCTCACCGTGACAGCCGCGTCAGGTCACATCAGGTGAGAGCGGGACTTCTGAAGGACGCCGAGCACAGACACTCGCCTTCCTCCCGGGCTGCCCGGCCCCTCTGGGAAACACCCTCAGAGACGGCCACACACCACTGTCGCCCCGTGGCCTGCGGGACTCGGAGCTGCAAGCAGAGCCCCGGCCACGGCCACGCGTGTCCGCCCGGCAGACCTGGGCCTCGGGGGCCTGCAAGCCCCGGCCACGGCCACTCGTGTCCGCCCGGCATCGCGAGGCCTCGGGGGCCTGCAAGCCCCGGCCACGGCCACTCGTGTCCGCCCGGCAGCGCGGGGCCTCGGGGACCTACTCACTCGAGGACGGAGCGCGTGGCCGCCTGCGGGTGGTAGCGGTAGAGCAGCAGCGTCTGGTCCACGCGGACGGCCCCGCCGCCCTTCCTGAGGTGCTGGTAGAAGAGGAGCAGGTCCTCGGGCACACCCTGGAGGGGCGAGAGCAGAAGGAACCGCTGCTGGCGTTTCTCTCCCGCCAGAGCGTGCCCGTTCCAAACTGTCACGCGTGTGCCTTGATCCCGGCGATCAGAATCGGGTGGAAAGGCCTTTGTTGCTAAGAAACCAGTCTAGAGACCAACAGGAATTGTGGGGTGACGCCCACAAGGCAGGACCTGGGCAACTAATGTTCTCAACAGGTGGGAAAAATGGACCCTAAACCAGGCCGGGTGGGCTGGAACCAGGTGCTCTGCGTTCTTGGTCCCGTCCAAAGTTTGCTCCGTTGGGCAGAGAAGGTGGGGGGCCGGGAGCAGAGTGAGGAAATGGGGTGGGGTCCAGGCCCGAGGTCCCTGCGAAGCCGTCTGTCCGGCTCCCCCTCCCCCGGCTTCTGGCTGGGGATGTCCTGCTGGCGCCGGCACCCTGCTCTGGAGGCCAAAGGTCGGGGACTCGGACTGTCGCCGTGGACACGGACGGTGGTGTGGGGGTGCTCACGGGGAGCCCAGCGCGGGCAGGAGCAGCCTCAGGACCCGGCGTCACTTGTGCCGAGTCTGGACTCCGCACTTGAGCCTCTGCAGACGCGGCTCATTCCCCAGGACGGGGCTCTGCCGGGCGCCTTCTCCTCCCTCTGGATCGTCCTGTCTCCTGAGAACCCGGCCCCTCCCCCAGCCTGGAGAAGACGCTGCCCAGGGAGGGGGCGACCCTGCCCTCCGCTCACCCCGCTCTGCGGCCGGGGCCTGAGGCCGTGGGGGGGTCAGACCGAGCCCTCGGGGGACCCCCGGGCACAAAAGCACCTGCTCTGGAGCTCGGTGGCCAGGCCTGGGCCTGTCTGGGTCCGGAGGGTCTGCTGAGGCCTGGAGAGCCCAGCTTGGCTCTCGGACTCCAAGACAGTCTAGTAGCGAGGGCAGCCAGCTTCCCCCCATGGGGAGAGGGCCACGCCCAGGGGGCAGCTGGACTCCCCGTTTCCCGGCGCTGGTCTTCCTGAAGTCGGCTCTGAAACGCTACGCCAGCGCCCGCGACTGCTCGCTGCAGCCCTTTCAGGAGGCCGCCCTAACTCGACCCCAGCCAGGAGGTCCATATAGAGCTTGGTGCGGTCGTGAGATCTGAACCCCTTAACGCTGCAAAGACAGAAACCCACGCGCCCCACGCGGCCTCGTCCGCGGCACGAGCAGCCTCAGCTGAGCAGATCAGATACGGCACTGCTGGCACCATGCCCAACCGGAGTAGCTTGTATAGAGAACATGACATGGAAAGATTTATAATAAAACACTAAGTTAAGAAACAGGTGTCGAAATTATGTTTACAGTTCCACTGAAAGTTTACCCACAATGAAACAAAGACAAAGGAATCACAGAAACTCAGAGCAGGTGTGCAGGTTTGCAGGTAATTTAGGGTCAAGGTTTCGCTGGCACACTGGTTAGCACATCACTTTAAACAGGTGATGTAGTTATTTCTTCTTTTTCCTAATTTTCTGTGTTTTCAAAGGCAACTTTAAAGAGCATGTTGTTGGAGCCCTGAATGCATTGCAGGGTTAGGAAGAGAGAAAACAGGTGTTCACTCTTCCCATGATCAGGGAGAACCTGACCTTTGGGGTTTCCTTGTTTCTAGCAAAAACAAACAAACAAACAAAAAAAAAAAAACAAAGAAAGAAACAGAGGATTTAGCTGCAGAGGCCCTGCCCCCACGGGGAGGAGATGCCGGCAGGTTCTGTCCTCGAGGCTCCGCCCAGCGTGGATCTGGGGGACCTGGACCACTGCCCTCGCGTCTCCCCGAAGTCTACCCAGCAGCCCCCAGGACACACACCTCCTCGTGACGCGCCTGAGACTCGGGTCAGTGGGCGTCCCCATGGCCGGGCTGCGATAGGAGGAAGAGTCACAGCTCAGAAAAAGTCGAGGAAGACTGCAGGTAACTAAGGAAATGTGGCCACAGAAACCCAAATCTTTCCACGCATCCTCCGAAGTCTGCCTTTTCACAGGGACAGATCCGATCCGGGACCATCAGCGAGCACAGAGCGGCCCCACCGGCTGCCGCGCCTCTGGGGCTGGCAGCGCCAAAGAACCGCATGGAAGAGAAGCCTGAACCGGAGTCGCTCCAGGGGAGGCCCGCCCAGGGGCCTGCTCAGCAGACGCCGAGGCCCTGGTGGGCCGAGGCTCAGGTCCCCAGACGGAGGGAGCAGAGTCCACAGCCTGCAGCCCCTTCCCCAGTCCCGACGCCGCACTCGCCGTGCAGTGACAGAAGGGGGCGACCTTGAGTCAGGAATCAGGTAACCCAGGTCTGTGCAGAAATGCACAGGTGAGAAAAGTCCTCATCAGCACAAAACTGCACGGGAGGAAAACTGAAAACAGGAACCAAACACTTCCGTAGATAAAAATTCAACGCCTTCCCTCTCAATGACAACCCCCTACAAACCATGAAACAGAAAAAAACCTGTGAATAATCCTCCAAGATCAATGACGCATCCTCAGTGACCACGTGAGGACTCGGGCGGGGGAGGGTGGAGACCCATCCTGACTCGGATGTTCGATGATCAAATCCAAAAGCGGACCCCAAAAGGGGAGGCGTAAAAAGAAGGTTGAAGACAGGTTGGTGCCGGGTGAGGGCTGGGGTGGGTGGGCGGTGAGGACAGACTGATCCTGGGCACAGGGTTCTTTTTGGGGAATGAAAATACTCCAACATCAGATTGTGGTGATGACTGTGTATCCCAGTGAATTTGCTGAAATACAATGAATTGCACATTTTAATAGGTGATTTATGATATGTGAGTTATACTTCAATAAAGCTCTTAAATAAAATTGGGTTGATTAAAATCAAAAAGGAAATTTAAAAAAGATAAAATTACGTGAGAGATGAAGACTAAATTACAAGATCCTCGAGGGGAAACAGATTTTAATAAAACTGAGCAAGGGACACTGAAGAAAGTAACAGAGAAAATGAAAATTACACAAAGAAAGAAGCAAAAAGGTTTGAGAGAACATTGTTGAAATGCAAGGCTGAGAAAATCTAGCCAAGGTAAAACTGGAGTCTCTGAAACAAAAACAAAGCAATGTAACGTAGCTAATGTTTAAACTGTAAGCCAAGAAAGCTCTTCATAAACAAAAGTACATCTAGTTCTACACACTGAAAAGCCCCATCAGGTCAACTTTAAGACAAATCCTAGTGATGCTTAACAGTAAAAAATAATTTTCAGAGTCTCTAGGCAAAGAGGCCACGTAACTGACAAGGGCAAGACTTGAACGTCAGATTTCTCAAGGTATTAACACTCTCAAGGTATTAATAGTCTCAAGGTATTAATACTCT